AAAAGATTGTTAAGAGTGGGGGGGGGGGGGGGGGGGGGAAGCAGAATTCATCCTGATATATAAAGAAATCACATAAAATTCAGATTAAAACATCAGGAGGGAGAGGTTTACCTTTCCATAAACAGTTCTGCTTCTCAAATTGTCATCTCTTTTTATCTTTTCATATTAGCCTTTACATTTTGTATTATGTATGGTACATGTCACGTCATCTGTCAGAAACAGAGGATAAAATATTTGCTTATCATTCTCTTACTCCAATTTTCTATTAAATTCTCTAATTTTCTTTCTTCCTCTTTCCTTTCTTTATCACACCTGTGTTTATGCTTGTATCTGTGTTTACAATTACATTAGATATTAACATAGTTAATTTATACAGTCATTTACTGAATAGCATACTGTTCCCATTCAGACTGCACTAGGGTACCTGATTCACTTTGTACCTGATTCACCTGCAATGTGCAGGTACTTACATGATTTTTTTCAAACTTCAGCCTTTGCTGCAGGAATTCAGTATTTAAGTGCATGACTGTGCATCATGCGAAAAGGATACCTGTGAACTTTTCCTGTGAACTGTATTTCTTACTGAAATACAGTTGCTACTTACAATTCAGTTTCCAATTCTCAAGACGTTATAGGCTACTGCCAATCAGAGATTCTTGTGTGAATGCTAAGGATCATGCAAGCGATTTACACAACTTATATGTCTGGCAACAAACAGTGAAAACAAAATGAAGTGGACTAAACCAGCAGAGCTGACAGTTCAAACTGTGCCTTGCTTTGAAAATAATCTGAATAATCAGGATGTGTAGTAGTAAAACTCGCATGCAAATCCACAGATGTAACAACTTCCTTAACTGCAAGCGTAACTGGTGAGACATCTTGACCACACACCAATATTGTTGCCTAATAGCAGGAAAGTAAACCTGGATCTGTAACTATACAAAATGTTATTTAATGTATTTTTGCATAGACTGTATTACTGGTTTAAAGATAAAGAAACATGTATTCAAGTAGTTTTAGAATTTACATAGTAAAATCCATAGTTAATTAGTTAAAATCTGAAAGTATTCTCAATATCTTTTAAAAAATGATGATAAAAACATACTCTGTGGCATACCAGACCTCTGTTACAAAAAAACCCAAACCACAACACCCACACCCAAAAAACCACAAAAAAACTAAAAAGAAAACCCAACCTAAACCGATTTATGATAAAAAACGTTTAAGCAATATATTATGTGGAAACTTTGTGCTTATTGCATCAGGTGAAAGCATATTCTAAGAAATTGTGCTTTTTCAGATCTTTTCAGGTATGTTGCTGAAGTGAAAAATTTTAAATGTTAAATATCTTTCTATTCGTGTACTTCTGTGTGTATTGTCGGTCATAAACTACGTGTGTTTCAGGTAAAAGTAGATATCATTCCTCGGACTTTGGGAGTGTTTCATTGCTGAAACTCATTTGTTGTTGGAGTGACCAATCTATAAAGGTAAGAAATAGTCTGTGTCAGTTGTTACAATGTAATCCTTAAGTAACATTTGCTTTAATTTAGTATTTGGAATCCTTGAGTTACCTGTTCTCTATAAACCAGGTGTAACATACATTACAAATGCCATTTTATCTTCCAGAAAAATAAAGGCCAAAATAAGGTCAGAGTCATATACCGATATATTACTACAGAAGAAACAGAAAATGTCATCTTAAAGGGATAAATAATTAATCCCAAGTCCTTACTTATTAGACCAGTCTTCAAGACTGACTTAGAGAAGTAAGTTATGGGTTCTCAGGTCAGGTGAAGCTCATGCCTATTGTTAGTGAAGAATCTGATGTCTTGCGAGATAAATTACTGTTTCTTGAGAGCTGACAGGTAACTGTGAAATACTCTGAACAGGGAAATCTAGAAACCATTTTTCATTTTGAAAATATGCATTTAAATAAAGTTTTGTGATTGCTTGAGTGAGTTAATGTTCAGGAGTATAAAACTCAAGACAGCATACTATGACCAGAAGGGATTTTACTCCAGAAAAGGGAAATAACTCTTATAGGGTTTTTCTTTTTTATGATGTTACTTTTAAAATTGAAACAACTCTGTGCTGCATTTCAAGCGCAAAGAATATTTTCCGAAGCTGGGGTGTACAGGGGTACTGCAGCATTAGTCCCCTGTTCTGTAAGAAGGACAGTAATGGTTTCTGTAAATATTCACATTCAATTGAATTGAGCATTTTATCTTGAACTTATCAGTTTCTATTATATCTCCACTGTCTGCACATCTTCCGTATTATTTCAGCATTATTCTCCCCTCAAACTGTCCCCCTTTCTCTTACAATAAGGTGTGAGGGGTTTTAACTTTTTTGAATCCTTTTAATAAAATTGAATACAGGGCCTCAGTTTCAATAGCTGCAATTCTTATGTGAAATCCATATAATGTCTCACTGACCTGGTCAGCCACTGAAACTATAGCATAGAGGGGTACAGCCATGCAACTTCTATTTGTAGCATAGCTCATTATGTGAGATCTATGTATTTATATTTTCTGATGATTTTAGTGACTGATCAGTTTATACCATGATAATGTATAACCTGTATAAATGTATAAACAGTATAAATGTATACAATGATATAAACTGTATAAATGTATACAATAATAATGTACAAACTGATCTATCTTATCTATCACAGGAGGTTAGTGTGCAGGAAGATAAGGTGTGAAATAAGCTGTCTCACACTTTTCTCATCTGAAAGGACTTTAGATTTAAGACACTGAAATTGTCAAGTACTGCAAATCCTATGCTATCAATACTTCTCAAACTTCAGCCTCATTCAGACACAGCTTTGTAGTTGCAATAAGCTTTGTTAACCTGCTTTGTAGTGCAGATTTTGGGTTGTTTACAGCCAAACTGCCACAAGGAGTTTTAACATTGAAAATAATTTGTGAGGTTGGCAATAAGTGTGGGTATTCAGCAACCAATGATTTATACACAATTTTAGTTTTTGTTGATGGTATGGTGGCTTTGTAAAAGCTTACTTTATGCAAACACAGATTTATGGCCAATTTACTAATGCTGAGCAGCCTGATTAAGCACTCATGTACATTTACCCAAAACACCACAAGTTACCCTGCTTTTAGAAACTTCTTTTATCATCATCTTCAGTGGACGATACCGATTCTCAGGCATGACCCAAAGGACTTGCCATTTGTTTATTCCTCGCCTCCTTACACTACTATAACAGATTCTGTGCAAACAAGAAAACTGACAAACAAAAAACCTTCTGCCAGCGATTGATCCAGGGTCTTCTGACTTGAAGTTGAAGGGCTGGGGGAGCTCTTTTTCTGTCCTAAATTCTAAAAATGCATTTATTTAAAACTTTTTTTTCCCCCAAATGATGATTTTAGAAGAAATGTCATCGTCATGTGAGTTGCTGTTCATTCAGATAAAATATAGCTTGTTGTTGCCACACTCTCATCCTGCCCAGAAGTTATTTAAGTGTGCTCATCCCTTCAGATAGATATTAAAAAACCTCTTGCCCTGAAACATTTAGTTTGAGGAAACAGTGGTTGCATTTCTGCCCTTAATTGTCTTTACTTTATATTTAAAATAGCCAGTTACTCACCTATATCTGTGACAGGTATTTCATTATATATATGTATAGTTTTAATAATAATACTATATTATTGCAGGTTTATGGAACCTTTTTGGCTGAAAGTGTGAACATTGATAACAGCACAGTATTGCCTAGGGAAAACTGTTTAGATCTCTGACATAACCATCTGCATAATGAATGTAGATGCTTTAGTCTTTCTCTTTCACTAGTTGAAAAAGATATAGACTGTGGAGTGACTGCTGAGATTTTAGCAGGAAACAGGAATGGATCATCTTGGGATTTTCTCATGTCTTTCTATTGATTCCTGCAGTGCACCTGTGTGTTTTTTCATTTAAGTTGCTTAATTTCCACTAAAATGAGGTGGGATGAATCTCACATATATTCCAGTGGCCTTCATGTACAGTTATTTATTCTTTGAAAGTAAAGGCCGTTGCAGAGACCAGGGCTGGTAAGCTTGTACCTTCTTCACTGATGCCCAAGTTTACGGTAATTTCTCTTAACAATCTCTGAATGCATTTGTTTTTACAGCATTTGTGTCTACCTGAAGCCAACTGACTACAGTATAAGTGTCTAGACAACTCTCTTGACAGTTACTATCCAGAAATAGAGGAAAGCAGACTGGATAATACAAGTCTGATATTTTGATCTATATTTTTTTGCTCCCCAGTGTGACTGTCTTATAGAGACATGTGGGAGGCAGTTCCTGCAAGGCTCAGACCTGTAGAGGTTATGGCCTGAGTAATAGCCAGGAGTGATGTCTATTGACTTTTCTCCTTAGTCCCACTCATTAAAAAGAGTAATACTTAGTAACTGATAAAGTGCAGAAAGAAAAGACACTATAACTTATTATAGATGTAACGGTACAGTTTGCCTCAACTTTTGTTCTCTTGTCTTTTTGAATTGTTTTCTAGCATTGCTGCTGCAGAATCAAACAACTACATTTCACTTCTTACAGCTGTTTTTATAGATGGATATGTGCTATTTATACTTTCTCAGCCATAGAAGAAGCATAAGTTGTCATGTTTAACAATCCCAACTAAAAAGCAGCTGGTATCCGTAACAGCAGTTACACTTATGGGGAAAAATGAACACATATTAATAACCAACAAGATAGTTAATGTATATGTAATCCAGAAGGATGCTAAAGATATAGTAGAAACTATCCAAGAAAGTGGAAGTTTCTTATGTAGGTTTGTTGTGTCAGAAACAGGCAACGCTTCTGGAGATTTTTAAACTCGTGATAATGATAGATGAGGTATGTGAATTCTTGGGGAAGATGCAGTGAGAGGACAAAACTAAACATGTGAAACCACACTGTGGAAATGCAGGTTCAACGAGGTGATAGACAAGTGGCAGGCAGAGACCTTCAGGTGCCTCAACAAGATCATGTTGTGCCATTTGCAACAGTTTTTCGTTTTGCCTTAAGACGGTTAAGACAAATGCTGCCTGTCTGGCATACACAGCACTGGCTCAGGTAACGAATATCTGATCCAGATTAGTGACAGGTTCTTAGCAGATCAAAACACCATGAAAAACACATAATGCTTGTAATTCTTCTGTGTACCTCTGTAAGAAATTTCTTTGTCAAAACTTTTCCCAGGACAGTGAAAACATGCCTGTGTTTCCTTTTCTTTCTTAATTATTGTAGATATATTGTAAAAGTCTGCTGCAAAGTCAGGATCTGTAATCCCCAAAGCTCAGGGATGTATGGATGTGAGGAATTGGAAACTGCCTTTGGTTTCCCCTGTAAAATAAAGCGCTATTATAACAAGATGAAGGTTTGTGCTGCATTAAAACACATAGGACTGGGTTACTTGCTATGAACTTTTACACTGTGGACCTGACTATGGTATACTTGTCTACAATAAAGGATTTTGTCACAAAGGACACCTACAGCCTTTATTCTGCTTAATGATTTGAATTTACAAGGGCAGCTAAATATGTGATTGAGGACAGCCAACAAGCTCACTGTTCTTGATTAGTGAGATGAAACAGTCTGCCAGGTAGTTTGAGGGAGCCTATGTATCAACTTCAACTCATATTAAACATTAAATAATGTTAATAGATTGTTTATAAACATCATACAAACACAAAATGTTTATAAAGATATTTAACATGAAATTTTCATATCCAATTTAAACTAATGTATAAGCTGAGGTGGAGTACGCTGTCCTGGAAACTTCAGAGTCTCTCTGTCTTTCAGGAAATTTCTTGTTCTTGAAAATGAATACCTTCCTGAGGGGGGGGAATTGCATTTCTTTTCTGAAGGAAATGCCAAATGAAGAGAAGTTCTGCGTGCTGCCATTCTGCACCATGATGGAATTTAGACTGAGTCAGGATTGTAAAAGTTTGGGTCCATTGTGTAAGGTCTTCATGTGCTTTATAAATGTCTTAGGTCTTTAAACTTCCTCAGTTCTCCTGAGGTTTCTCTACTAAAGAGAAGTAATAATTCTGTCATACAGTATCCACACTGCATTGTCTTACCATCTATGTGTGGTACATTAGCTGTTGGAAGTGCTGTTTATAGGCTGTTTATAATTTCAGCAGATGCTGCTTTTGGATAAGAGGAGTTTGAGGAGTGGTTTTTCTCTTTGTATTAGACAAAACATACAGTGTTATCACATTTCAGCTAGAGGAATAGAAGATCACCACTAATGACAAAACATTATCTAAACTTTCAGGTAGAGACTAGCCACCAAACTTATTAAAAGGCCAAAAATGTAGCGTTCTTTTTCAGTCTGTGAAGCATTTTTGCTCACACATTAAAAAAAAAAAGATATTTTGGTTATCACTATGTGCTTTACTAATGTGTATTGTCATGATCCTTGGCAATGAAGGAGACAGTAGGCAACTGATTCTAGTTTTGAGATTAAAGAAAATGAATTTTCAATTAGGGGGAAGCAGTCGTGATTGACAACTTCCACCATTTTATTGCTATGCAGTTAATGTTTATTTCTCAGTATGAATGTAGGGGCACATAAGTATCAGTGTCTGAAAGATATTAAGTGTTGACTTTCTAATGACATTCAATGGAACAGCCTTCAAATTTTGTAGTAGTTATTTAAAATTGTCAAATGCTCAGATAAATAACTGAAATTCTGATGTCATCCAATATAATTTGCATTTATGACAGATTATTGAGGCAATGCAAGCAGTGCTGCTGGCAGAAGTTCAAAGGACTATGAATGCCTTAAGAAAAACAGCCATACGCAGAGAGCCATTGGCCATGGTAGAGAATGGAAATGGTAAGTTGTGGGCATTGCCAGAGACTGAGTAGAGGGATTTACAATATACTGAAAATGTTTCTTTGCCATGTAGGTGGAAAATTTATTGGTATAATCTTTTAGAACTTTCTTTAGTACTCAGAACAAGTTAAGAGTGAGTTCATAATGTATTATTTCTGTGTAAGACAAGCCAAATAGCCTGTTTCTGACCTTACCAGGCTATGAGTCTTCTCATGTTATTGTCCAGAAGTTAAAAGACTTTCACATTCTCTCATCACGTCTGAACATTAAACAAGAAAAGGTAAAGTTTATTTGATTGTATGACAGTTTTGGTATAGTAAATACATTTGCAAATAAAGGAAACAGTGTGTTTGAAATAGAATTAGTAAATCATATTGAAAAGAAGTTTTACAAATACCTAAAAGAACTGGAATGACACTAAAATTTAATTGCTTATTTTTTATAACTTCATAATGTCATACAGAATATTTTATTTTTGTTTGAGAAATAACCTCCCTGAAAGGAGATAGCAAATACATTTTACAATCAATTTCATTTTGCAAGGAGCTTAATCTTTGCAACTTTACAATGGTTCTAGTGTTTATGGTAAAAATGGTTGAACCTGAATTTGTTATGAAGTTATACTCTTTATTTTTAGCCCATTAGCTGAGTCTTAATATTGTGACCTAAATTTTAGATCCAATCTTATTAGTGAGCCTTCTCTTGGGGAACTGATTTATAATCTCACTGAGTGTGTCTGTCATAAAAATTTGTTACCGACCTGCTTGTTCCGAGATACTAAAAATGATCAGTGATACTTGCTTCAGGCCATGAAACAAAATGGTATCTCTATAGTTTGGACTGTTGGAATACAACAAAACTGAATAATTGTCATGTCTGAGTTTGTACTTTTATTACACTGAATTTGCTTTGAATCCTTTCCTTTTTATGTGGTTTCGGACAAGAGGCATTGTACCTAAAGTTCATATATGGATTTGTTTTCAGATTTCCTGAATTTTCAGGGTGTATTTCAGTGTGGTGTTTTGATATGGCTTGCAACAGAAATAGGACTAACCAGAAGTTGCAAATGCAGATACCTGCAAACTGTGGATGTGTTTAAGTATTTGGGTTTGTTTCGAAACCTTCTATACTAAATTAAAAAAAAAAAACAAACCCAACCAACCAAAAAACCAAACCCATTTTTGTGATGTAAAGGCTGCTGGAATGATTATAAGAATCTAGTAGTCAGTTGTTTAGTCTTAGCAGTGTATTTTTGACATTATATTGTTCAGCAACTTAATGTATTCTGGAATAGACAGAAAACATACAGGAACACTGGGTAAGAGATGTTACACTGAGTATTGAATATCATATTAACTTTCTTTTTGCATTTGTGTTTTACCTTGTTGCATTATTTATCATTGTATGTAAATAGCAAAAACATTTTTGGTTTGGTTTGCATGGTTTTCTAAAATGCACTGCAAAACTTGATGGGCTTATTCAGAAGTGAACAATTTTTTGCTGCTTTTTAATATGTTAGTGTAAAACTACATATGGCATGTAATGATATGCAGAAATTGTTAAAAACCTGTCCAGGAGTAAGTCCATGACCACTGTAACTACTAAGACAAGTAGTTATGTCTAGTCTTAGTCATTCACTTGATAGGTATATCAGCTTATTAACTACTCTGTATGTATGGGTTATATAGTAGCTGTCCTCTTGTGCAACATCAAGGTAAAGGTTAAATATTGTTTCAGGTGCACTGTAACCCAAAGAAAAGGTGTCTGAATCTTGGCTGCCATCATCAGTGTATTGCATTTTTGTTTAATTGAAATTAATAGATTTGATCTGGAGATGTTTAAACCCAGTTTAACTCAACGAATTTCCGCTGAAGTCAATAGAAGTTTTCTTTAAAAAGACAAACAGAACTTTCAGGATTTGACCTTCAGTTTTTATGATATTTAAAGTTGATAGTATATTACATAGTTGTTTTTTCAGAAAGCTCCTAACTCTTTAGGGAGCTCTTGTATTCTTAATTCTTGATTAAGGGTGATAGTGTTTAGACATCATCTTCACTTGCTGAATTCTTTTTCTCTGTAGCTCCATACAGACAGAATTGTTTGTTAATTGAATTTAAAAATACTTGGGATTTTTTGTTTTTTGTTTTTTTTTTTTTTCTCCAGAAACAAATATAAGGAATTAAAAAAGCTATTAATGTAAAGCATGCCAGAGAAAGGGTTAATTGTGTTCTCTCCTAGTACATTCTTCCATTGTTGCTAAAAGGAAATATAAATGCAAACGGTTGCAAGTTCTTTATGTTAATGTTAGAGATAATAATTTTGGACCTGTTCCAAACATATTGATAGCAATCTTACCATTGATTTCTGCAAGCTTTGCTTCAGTTCTTCAAAGAAGCTGAGGTTTTCCTTTATTTTTTTGACATTCATCATAATTTTGAAGAAGTACATTGCATTTTATCCCTTCTTGCCTTTTTCCTGAACACTGATAATCTCAGATTAATGATACCATTTAACAGGTTGTCAGCATGGTATTGTTTTCCACTGCCATGTGAGTCAGAAGCAGTGATTTTACAGTCTTAATCTATCTACTTTTACTTGCATAAACTAAATTTACTGGCATTCTTCATTCATTTTTCATTTGTAGTATTTAATCTTATGACATACATATATAGTCTATACCTACCCATGAGCAGAATTTCTGTGATCTGATGGAAAATGGTGGCAATACCACTGTTGTTATTCAAAAGCCCAGTGATTGGATACAAACAAATTGGATAGTCCCTCCTGCAGTTGATTTGAATCTGTATCTTCAACAGTAATTCATTGCTTATATTTAAGGCATTCTGCAGCATCATCTGTAGAAATTATTTCACTTTTCATGGAAATCTCAAAGTATTTGCAAGGATATGAGTTAGAAATGAGATTCCTTCACACCAGGTGTGTTGTGTGTATGACTGTGATTTCCTTTTAGCTGCCGCACTGAAACAGTTTCTATGTGCCATCCTTGGATGCCGATTTCTTGTAATGCACAGGGAGCAAAAAACTATCTTATCTGAAACAGCTTTATAGCATCCAAGTTGTTCTGGAATTGTGTGCCTCAGTTTTGTTTTTTTGTGTGAAGAACTGGATTTATTTACCTTTTAAGAAAGCAGAGGATAAATGTGTTTAAGATGTTAATGCTCAGATATTAAATTGAGAGACTGATATATGTGATATTGCAGCAATGCCAAGTTGAAAAAGTGAAAGGAAAGTGTGAAGTGCAGGCTTTATTCCTAAATACAGAATGTTATTTTAAATGCCTCTTATATTTGTGAAAAATGTAAATGTGAAAAATCACACCATTAAGACTAGCTTGCAATAAATTCTGGTTTGCACTTAAAAATTCCCAGTTTAAGAAACTGCTAATGATTCAAGCTTTTAAGTATATTTGAAAGCTATTAGCTATAACCTCATCTTTTGTATGTGGTTTTGGAACTCTCTAAACTATTCAATTAAATAAATTGGTTCTTGCAGGAAAAAAGCTTCTGCTGATAAATACCAGAGTGAAATTAATGGTGACAATTGAATTCCATAGGTTGGTGTAAAAAAGTGTCAAAGACTTATCTAGAATATAATAATATGTTTTGTTAAAATGAGGAATCCATTCAGTAATGGTAAATCAATGAAAGGCGGGATATAACGGCTTCTGTTCACTAGAGAAGTGTAGTGACCTGCAGCAGAGGGTTTCAAACACTTCTATTGTCTGGGTTTCAGAAATCTGTCCAGTTGCAGGCAACTTTATGTCAGCTTTTAGGAAGTCATTCTTTGACTGTGTCTTTCTGTATAGCAAATGATTCTTCTTGCCTGTCTGCAAAGTATTAAGGTTTTGTTAAGGAAGTGCAGATAAGGAGAAGGGTTGTTCTGCCTCTGGTATTTTCCTTCATATTGTCATTTTGTTACAGCCTACTGCCTTTTCATATCTGTCCAAATATACATTCTGTCTCTGTATTTAAACCAAAAAGACCCAAAAGACAACCCTGACTCTGAGCTCTAGTCTGTTTGGACCATTGATAGCACAAAGATTGCACAAGATTGCAATGCAAACTTGTACTTGGTTGCCTAATTGCTGGGGAATTAACTTTTAGGGCTGTAAAATGCATTGATATTCTTAGTTATTGTAGCCACACTAGTGTAACTTGTACTGTTTACATTCTGGTGAAATACTGCATGCCCAGAAAACTTGAACAACAACTGATGAATCAATTTTAGGCTTAATATTGTACATTCAGATAAGTGCACGTCTGTCCTCATATCCTTACATTTCCCCTTACTGTGTTAGTTTCAAGTTTGGATTTGGGCTTATCACTTATGTAAGTATTCAGTCTTTGAAACTGCTTGCCTTGCTGTGGCTGGGCTCCGTATCCAACATGAATCAAGCAAAATCCAGAAAAAGGTGTCCAGATGACGCATGGGAGGATTTCTGATAAACAAAAGAAGAAAAGGCTAAAGAAGAGAAGGAGAATGGGATAGAAAGAACAGTCTAGGAAAAGGGAGAAGAAAAAAATTGAGGTAGAAGCATGACAATGTGAATGTGTACAGAAGGTTACCAGTTCTCTAATGGAAATCACAAGCAAGAAACCGGTTGCTGGTTAAAAAAATTTGAAGGACAGAATCTGATTCCATTTCTGGTATGATAAAGGTTCTTGAGATTAGTAGGAACTAGGAAATGAGTACATTTTGACAGTGTGAATGGCTTTTTCGATTGAAATTGAGAAAAAAGATCATTAAATGCATAAGCAGTTAAGAATCCATGTATCCCTACAGCATGGGTTTTAAAGAGCATGAGAGAAAATGCTCCTTTCTTAGCACATTAAAAATCACATGAAAGAAAAGGACAATTCAATTGTCTGGAAGAAAACCAGAGGCAATAAGAAATATCTTTCATTATGACAGGTATCCTAAGGAAAACCAAGTGAAGGGTTTTTCTTAGTTTTTATAACCTATTTGTGAAACTCAAAAAT